GGGTGCACGTTCTCTACACGTCTGCTCCGTCAAAATTTCCAGACGCGCATTTCAATCGACATCCTCAGACCTCACGCCACATCTCGATACCTCGCCCACGCCAATCCACCCCACCTCCCCCATCAACATAGCGCGCCCGACATCGCCCGACTACACCAGCCATCGCCTGCATCCATCGAGTGCCGATATCCATCCCATCTGGATGCACCAACCTGTCATGACCCCAACGCAGCCCAGTCATCACCATGTCGGACGCGGATTTCGAGCAGATTAGGAAGCTTCAGGCTGAGCGCAACGCCGCCGCTGCTGCTAAGAAAGGTTCTCGGACCTTCGATCTCGCCAACCAGCGTGCTGACTCCTCCACCAAGGCCAAGCTCGGCGAAGTCTGGGACACTGAGCTGTACGAGCGCGAAAATGGTGACAAGTTTGCCGGCTATCACGACTCCCTGCCCGCCGCGGGTGGCGACGATGACGAGATGGGAGACGCCGACACGGGCCGCCGTCTGGTCGGCCAGTACACGGCCACGCGCGCCCAGATCGACGAGTTTGCCCGCGGAGGCGGCGTAGAGGAGGAGGATATCCTGGCGGGTCGCGGCGAGAAAAGCAACCGCATCACTGACAGAGAGACCGACTACCAGAAGCGTCGCTTTGACCGTGTCCTGACTCCCACGCGAGCTGACCCGTTCGCTGCTAATCGCCAGGCAGGCGCCGCTGAGGATGGAGAGAGCTACCGCGTAATCATGGAGCGCCGCGAGATTGAGAGGGAAGAGGAACGCGTGCTCCGCGCCATCGAGCAGAAGAAGGCCGATGGCCCCGACGAAGACCACAAGCCGACCCTGAAGGACGCCGGTGATAAGGAGAATGGGGATGCGGGCCCGACGGAGGCGGCCGCGGCTGGTCGCAAGCGCAAGAAGAGGTGGGATGTCGCTTCGGCCGCGACAGACGAGGCCGCGCCGGCCGAGGAGGAGCCAAAGAAGAGGTCCCGGTGGGACCAAGCACCTTCGGTTCCGGGTCTCGGCGCGGAGAGCAAGAAGAAGTCGTCTCGCTGGGATCAGGCTCCCTCTGCTACTCCCGTGGGTAATATCGGCCTGGCTACCCCTATGCACCCCACACAAGGCGCCGTTCTTCCTCCGACATTCGGTACCGACGCCGGTAGCCGGTACACCCCTATCAGCGACGAGGAGCTTGATGCCATGCTCCCCGGCGCTGAGGAGGGCTACAAGATTCTCGAGTTCCCGCCCGGATACGCACCCGTGCGAGCACCAGTACACAAGCTGATGCAGCCGCCGACGCCAGCCACGGGCTTTATGATGCAAGACCCCGAGAGCAGCCGGATGAGTGGGCAGCAGATACCAAAGGAGATACCCGGGGTCGGTGATTTGCAGTTCTTCAAGCCCGAGGATATGGCATACTTTGGCAAGCTAACAGACGGGTCTGACGAGGACAGCCTGAGTGTTGAAGAACTCAAGGAGAGGAAGATCATGCGGCTGCTGTTGAAAGTAAAAAATGGTACCCCTCCTATGAGGAAGACTGCACTCAGACAACTCACAGACAATGCCCGGAACTTTGGTGCCGGTCCCCTCTTTAACCAGATCCTCCCTCTCCTCATGGAAAAGACGTTGGAGGATCAAGAACGCCATCTGCTCGTCAAGGTCATTGACCGTATTCTTTACAAGCTCGATGACATGGTTCGCCCCTATGTCCACAAGATCCTAGTAGTCATCGAGCCCCTCCTTATTGACCAGGATTACTACGCGCGAGTGGAGGGCCGAGAAATCATCTCCAATCTGAGTAAGGCTGCAGGTCTTGCAACCATGATCAGCGTCATGAGGCCAGATATCGACCATGTGGACGAATACGTCAGAAACACTACCGCCCGAGCCTTTGCCGTCGTCGCCTCTGCGCTGGGCATTCCAGCCCTCCTACCTTTCCTCCAAGCAGTCTGCCGAAGCAAGAAATCATGGCAAGCTCGCCACACCGGTGTTAAGATTGTCCAACAGATTCCCATTCTGATGGGCTGCGCAGTCTTGCCCCATCTCAAGCGCCTCGTTGATTGTATCGGGCCCAACCTGAACGATGAGCAGACCAAGGTGCGAACAGTCACCAGTTTGGCAATCGCCGCTCTGGCCGAAGCATCGAACCCATACGGTATCGAGAGTTTCGATGACATCCTCAACCCCCTGTGGACAGGTGCTCGTAAGCAGCGAGGCAAGGGCCTGGCTGGCTTTCTCAAGGCCGTGGGTTACATCATCCCCCTCATGGACGAGGATTATGCGAACTACTACACGAGTCAAATCATGGAAATCCTCCTGCGCGAGTTTTCCTCACCTGATGAAGAAATGAAAAAGGTGGTGTTGAAGGTCATCTCGCAGTGTGCCGCCACAGACGGAGTGACGGCAGGCTATCTCAAAGAGCATGTCCTGGATGAATTTTTTAAGAGCTTCTGGGTGCGCCGCATGGCTCTCGATAAGCGCAATTATCGGCAGGTTGTTGAAACAACAGTCGATATCGGCCAAAAAGTTGGCGTCAGCGAGATTCTTGAGAGGATTGTGGTCAATCTCAAGGATGAGAGCGAGGCATACCGCAAGATGACTGTGGAGACCGTGGAGAAAATGGTCGCTTCTCTCGGTGCTGCCGATATTGGCGAGCGCCTGGAGGAGCGACTGATTGACGGCATTCTGCATTCGTTCCAGGAGCAGAGCGTAGAGGATATCGTTATGCTCAACGGCTTTGGCTCTGTGGTGAATGCCCTAGGCACTCGATGCAAGCCCTATCTTCCTCAGATTGTCAGTACTATCCTCTGGCGTCTCAACAACAAGTCAGCCACAGTACGACAGCAGGCCGCCGACCTTGTCTCCAGAATTGCTATGGTCATGAAGCAATGCGGCGAAGATGCTCTCATGGGCAAGCTTGGCATCGTTCTGTATGAGTATCTCGGTGAAGAATATCCCGAAGTCCTCGGCTCCATCCTCGGCGCCCTTCGCTCCATCGTCACGGTAGTAGGCATCAGCCAGATGCAGCCGCCCATCAAAGACCTCCTCCCCCGGTTGACTCCCATTCTCCGCAATCGACACGAAAAGGTGCAAGAGAACACAATTGATCTCGTAGGCCGCATCGCCGATCGTGGCCCAGAGAGCGTAAACGCACGCGAATGGATGCGTATCTGTTTTGAGCTCCTCGACATGCTCAAGGCCCACAAAAAGGGCATCCGGCGAGCGGCCAACAACACGTTCGGCTTCATCGCCAAGGCCATCGGCCCACAGGATGTTCTCGCCACGCTGCTCAACAACCTGCGGGTTCAGGAGCGCCAGTCCCGGGTCAACACGGCCGTCGCCATCGGTATTGTAGCCGAGACCTGCGCGCCCTTCACGGTGCTACCAGCGCTGATGAACGAGTACCGCGTTCCAGAGCTCAACGTACAGAACGGTGTGCTCAAGTCTCTCTCGTTCCTGTTCGAGTACATTGGCGAGATGGCCAAGGACTACGTCTACGCCGTCACACCGTTGCTTGAGGATGCCCTGATCGACCGTGATCAGGTACATCGGCAGACAGCGGCGAGCGTAGTGAAGCATATTGCGCTCGGCGTTGTTGGGCTCGGCTGCGAGGACGCCATGGTACATTTGCTCAATCTACTTTATCCCAATCTATTCGAGACGAGCCCACACGTCATCGACAGGATTGTGGAAGCGATTGAGGCCATCCGCATGGCTGTCGGGCCGGGACTGGTTCTCAATTATGTCTGGGCCGGCCTATTCCATCCGGCACGCAAGGTGCGTACGCCGTACTGGAGGCTATACAATGATGCATACGTGCAAGGGGCAGATGCGATGGTGCCATATTACCCCAACTTGACAGAGGAGGGGATTGATAGGGGAGAGCTAGCTATCGTGCTTTGAGGGGATCCAACAAGAACACGGCGGCCAATCAAGGATGGGGTTGGAGGGGCGGAGTTCCGTCCTGCTGGTAAGATAGGAAGGGTTATGGTAGGGCGGTGGAGCTGAAGCGAGGTAGTTTGCAGTGATATTGGCTGAAAAGGGGCACGTCCCGCTAACATCCGAGGGCAAGAGAGAGAGGTAGCGGGATGAAGTAAGTCACAAGGGATGGGTTTATCGTGACTTGTTTCGTCTGTGCCGACCGAGTGTTTGCGTTAGGATGTATATCGTGTCTGCTTTTCTGTTTAGGTAGTTACCCCTTGTACTCAATGGTGCATAATCAAGGCGTTTGATTTGATCTTTTTGGACATGTCAACCGTTTCAATCGACCGTTTAAGAGTGAGTGGGGTGATGATGGGGGTCTATATGAGGAAGCAGACAGCAAAAAGATATCGGCATCTGGTCAGAATTAGTGTGTTGAACACCTGCCTGGTTGTCTGGGCAGGAAACGTGCACTACTATGTCTTGAGCACCTCGGGGCCATCGCAGACCATCTATGAGAACAAAATCCCTCCAGGCTGCGTCCTCCCACCCAGCTGGTCTTGAGCTTCATTCCCCCTTACGTCAGTCCTCACCCCCCGCGCAGGTACATCGGATGCTTTTCCAAACTCTGTATCCAACAAAGGCCGGTTGATGTAGGGGTAATATCCGTAGTATGTGTCGGCTTGCTGCCTGTAAAATCTACAGTACCCGCCAGGTGTAGTCTCGGGTTCGATTCCCAAAACCGGCCTTTATTTTTGCAATATCTCGCTTTTGTTTTCTTTTTTTTTCCCAACCCCGTGCAAGAACACCGAGCTACAGGAGCTAAATGAATATCGATATTACTTAGTGTCATGCCCCCCACTGTCGAGTTACTGTCTTTGTCATTTAAAATACCTTTTTAGTAGTACTCTATTTAGCAACGTAAGTTTGGTTTTATATCTAGAGCAAAACAGGGGCTTAAGTATGCCTCTGCACCGGTCCCACACCCGCCACACCCGGTCCTAGAGAGTCGACTCGGTTCGACTCGGCTCGCTCATGATAGTGTGGAGACTGGAAGCTTATTCCTATCTAGAGCACAACCGATCAGTCACTTTGGCGGAGTGGTTAACGCGCTGCCCTGCTATCCGGACTACGGTAGTAGTCAGGCAGTTCTTTCGAGAGCACAGGTTCGAATCCTGTAGGTGACGATTATTTTTAATATGGGGATTAACGTGGGTTTTGGACGCTATGCTTCTTTTTGGCTATTAGATGGGCTTTTTGTGTTCATCATTTAGGCCCCTCAATGCTTTAAGACCAATATTAAGTTCTACTTATAGAACCTTATAGCTGGAGCACAACCTAGTATCACAGTTGAGCGTCTCGTATGCACTAACTAACCATTTTCATGTTTAACAAGCAGAACAATTATGCTCAATAGAGGTAAATCGTCGCTTTGCTATCTGTCCCATAGTTTAAACTCAATGTGCTTAATCACATGTTAATGTTGGTTGTTGGTTGTCTACCTAACTCGGTGACTTTTGGGCGCTTGTCACTTGGAAGTTGCCCATGGAAGTCCTATAGAGCTTCACATTTTACCGAATATTGGCACCTCACTGCACATATTCCGAGGGGGTCCCACTTCGATTGCCTTGTTTCATGTTAACTGCTACTCGTTACAATTACCAACAATGGCTCGAGGTCTTGGGAAGTTCCAGCAATAAAGTGACCAAGTGTATCTCCATCTTGCAGTGTGCTGTTTATATTCCCAAGGCAGCGAGGTAGCGCGGCTGTTATGGCTGCTAGAAATACGTGCCAGGTGGGTGAGTTTATTTGTCACATTTTGCAACTTCAGCGATACTGCTAAGTTGCTCGTCCTGGGCTTCGACAGTAACTCCCCTCCCTTCATGACGCCAACATCAACCCTTTCGTCCCCATACGTGGCTGTCATGTCACCGCCTACTCCAGTATCCCTCCTATATTTACTTTGTATCCCTTATCTTAGAATCCAGTCATTTGATAGCACATGTTATAGGGACTCTATAATGCGACATGGGCTTCCAAATTGACGTTACATTAGTTTGGAGAGCAAGCCAAAAGGACCAACCCTCACCAATACAGCCAAGCAAAGTATGGTCACACAGCTGCCAACCTCACCATGCACCCGAGGGAAGATGTCTACTTAGAGAACTGTACAGCCATAGCAGCCAGCGTACCACCTCAACAACTGCTTTGTTTACGACCCCCTTTCCCCCTCCTCCCAACCATGCATCACAGAGTGCTCCAATCGCAGAACCTCCCACCCCTCCCCCCTTCGCCATGGGCCCAGCCGACGAGACATCACAACGAGCTAAGACAAGTACCTTCACCCAAACCGACCAACCCAAAGCATCCATCGCCCCTTTCCGCCCTCATTCGTCAAACCTCCAAAAAGCCTTTACGCCATATCTATCTTTACCCTCCACCGTCCTTCCGGCCTGCCGTGTCTCATACCACACAGGCTCTGGTGGCCAGTAGCTCTTTGCGCTCCCGCAGTCCCAGACCTTGTCCGTGGTATACCACGGCGGTGACTGGCCGGCCGGCCGGCTAGGGGTAAGGTAGGCAACTTGCTGCTGTGCGGCGCTAGACAGGCAACAGCACACCCAACCCAACCAGCCCACCCTTGCCGTGCTTCCGCCCTATCTTTTCCACCGTCTTCCCAAACGGGAAGGACAACGGATGAGAGGAGGTGGTAGAGAAACAGCTGAAACCTGCAAAGACCATGGGCAGACCAGTCGATGGGCACGTGTTCGTACGGCGAAGTGTGGTCTAAAGCTAGTGTGGTCTAGTCTATGCTCATGGTGGCAAAGGATTGCTATTTTGATTCCCCATGTGGACTTGAAGGCAGTGCAAGAAGCTGACAGACTGGGATCGGGAAAAAATGAGAAAGGAGGTCAAACACTACGGCCCAAGGACAGGGGTATGTGAGGTGAGTGGGGGACAGCAACACCGTACTGCAGTGTACAACACCCTGTACAGCACTGCACCTCTGCCCACAGCAGCAGAGACAACAGCACCATAGACAGCAACGGCCTGACCCGAAAGGGCCGACAAAGTTGCTGCGCGGGGTGGAGACAGTACGGTATATACCGACTGCCGGCGGCTAGGTGGCAAAAGAATCGAGATCGCGCCCTGCTAGGTAACATATCTCAAGTGTGCCTAACAGCCCGCGCCTACAGTAGCGTAGGGAGTCGATGTGGTCACACGGAAATCGTCTCCATCGTGCCCCGTCGAACAGAGCCCTCCAGCATACGGATGACAGCGTGCCAAGCGCGCAAAAAGCAAGAGAAAAACTTGGATGTCGGGCAAGGAGATAGGAGAGGGGCGGGGAATCATGGCATCCTGGTGGTCTGCCGGGCTGCCCGGCAAGATACACGCCAGCCAGCACTGCAAGAACTTGGGCCTCTCGGGCTTGGCTTTCTTCTCGTGTCACGCCGTGAAAACCCCTTCCGCCGCCGGCCAGGCAAGAGGGATGAGAGGACAAGAAAAAGCAAGTCGGAATGCCCTCACACGACAGACAAGACTCGTAGTGGATGCATGTATGTATGTCTGGATGTGTATGTGTGTAATCATACTGATGGATTGTGAACCAGGCTGGAAAGAGATGGTAAAGCCCTCACGGTGAGGACCAAAGCGGTAGGGAGCGTGTCTGTGATGGCCTAAAAGGGTGACCTGGAAGCCCCAACCCCCTCACACCCTCGACAGGAGAGGGGAATGACAAATTCGCGACCGTATCCGGCTATGGGCCGGGCTAGAACCTGCGCGTTGGTCTCATAATCGTATCATTCTGCCCTCCCGTCTTTGCTCTGCATCCTCCTGCCTGAGGGGATCCATCCCTCTCATAGCAGGCAGGACGGTGGGAAGGGGAACGAGAACGTGCAAACCCCTTCCCACCCACACCGCTAGTCCCCCCCGCCTTGTCGCTGTCTAGCAAGGTGCGCGATATCCCGAGACGGGGGGGAAAGAGGGGTGTGGCTCGGGCGACGCGAGTGCTCGTGAACTCTTAAGGACCTTCCTCTCTTGTCGCGCCGAGAACAAACAGCCTTCAGCGCTGGTTAGGGCTAAGTGCCTGCCTGACGTGTCCGCGCCCTGATGCGCAACGCAATGCGGCCCGTGATTCGACACTGTCCAGCTGGGTGTGTTGACAGGTAAAGACGGCAACTGCTGATTCGACACCTTTGGCTCTTCGGGGTAGAGTTTCCCCTTGGCGCCCATAAGAGGTTCTCACGGGGCGGACAGAGTACCCTGGGAGAGTGGTACAGTCTCGCTTCACCTTGACGGGAGTGCGGGATCGTAGCAGAGATAGGTTATGGGTTATGGCGTATGTGTTTCCACACGTGAACTCTTATTCCTCGTTCAGTCGTGGGCCCTAGCTGCCGACTATGGCTGGTGTTACTACTTGGGCTTATCCTGACAAGCTTTGATCATGACTGTATTATACGTGTATTAGTAACAGGACCAAGGTGAAGGAAATACTGAACATTACCTACGTGTATTTCGGTAATTTGCAATCGTGCGCCAAGCGGCCGATGATCGTCCATCAACATAGCACACTTGAAGAACAAAGTGAGTATACACCTGACCAGGTTACCATGTAGGGGTTGGGTCTTGTTGAGCCAGATTGTTTTCTCGGGCAGAATTTGAGGTTCGCATGGTTGGGAAGGGCTTGCCAGGGGTGTTCCTGAATCAGACGGACTGCCAGAAGCAGGACCCCTGAGAAACGCAGCGCCGTCATTTGGTTGATCGACGGTATACACCCCACCCCCACAAAGACACAAGTCTCGGGGATGGTGCCCTTACCCTACTCACATGCTGGCGAACAATAGTTCAGCAAAGCCCGCGAGATATCCGTATCCGGGGAAGTGAGCTGCAATGTTTACTACTACATCTCCCTGCGTTTTCCATCCTGGGGGCGCTCTACTGAGAGCAAGGGGGGGGGGGGGGGGGGGGGGAAGGGATATCGCCATAGGGGATGGTTACATGGGCGCAGTGGCAGTTCACAGCAAAACAGCAACAAGAGCCGGTAGGGCAGTGCCAGGGTGGATGGCTTTGAAGCAAGACATACGGAGAGAAAAGAAGAGGCGGCACTCCTTTTCCCAGCATGTCTCTCAGACTCGGGCCGTTTGTAGAGCTTGAAACCCATGTCTGAGATGGGACTGTGCTCTCTTGGCCCTTTTGTAGTGTATATGTACCCATAATGTAGTATAACCCTTTTTCAGAGGGACACGGGCAGGGCGAACCGTCCTGAAGAGCAAAAGAAAGGCAGTGCGCTGAAGGAACGGGACAAAAAGAAAGCTGCTATAAAGTATACAAGGGTGGGGAAATGGCGCCGAGGGAGCGCGGGATCCTGGACGCGCGAAACCATCTGCACGACAGATCTGACAGACGCACGGCGTGTCGATCATGATGCGACGGCATCTTTTGTTGGTGTCGCAGTTGAATGCCGAGTTTCGGCCAGACGGGGAAGAAAAACGGAGAGTCGAGCCGGTGAGGCCCAAGCCACAACGACAAGGGACGATGCCGAGTGCGCGTCCTCCTGCTCGAGCGCGGCGTGAAGCACGGGGAGTTCTCAGTTGATGGAGCGATGGAGCGAACCTTGAAGCCCTAGCTCATGCAACAAGTTGCCAGCAGCAAAGCATCCGATAGTTCCACCCTGCAAGCGCCCCAAAGCACTGCAAAGACGTTTATGGGCTTGTCATCATTGGACCTATGCTGTGGCCGTCCAGGTGAAAGGGCCGAATTCGATCGGGCTGGGTGCGACGCGTCGAGTGGGCGTTGCTGAGGCGTTCGGTCCGCGGTCTGCCTCGCTCGAAAGGGGAAAGGGGCCAGCCAGGGGGCAATTGGGCGGCAGATTCCGTTGGCCTCTCGGCGCGCCAAGAGGCCCGAGTTGGACCAACGGCAAATATCCCGTGCCCTTTTCTCTCTCTTCCTTCGTTCAAGAGTGAGCCAGTTTGCCAGCGGCCCGCTAGCTAGTGAACATTGGTCATCTCGACTGATTACGGGGTACCTCGAGGACAAGCCTCAGTGTGACCTCCGCCCAAACCCCAACGCGGCACCGAAGGGCCTGCAAGCGCCGGAGGGGGAACCCCCCTCCCTCTTGTTCAACCCCCGCGAAAGCAGGTTGCACTGGGCCTGTGCATCCCGTGCGGGCGGTGCCGTACATCGTAAAATA